TTACATTAAAGAACTGAATCTTATTACATTTAGAAATACACTTTTAATCAGAAACGTTTCTACAAATCTTTGATGGAAAGTCAGTCCGTAATGAACAAATGGGACCTAACTACATATCCGCCTTGCATCTTGGTACTTGCCAAGGAATTTCTAAGTCTTTTAAATGAAATTTTGTTAGTTTTCCTTAAGTGTATATATGTTTCTCATTTTTCAAAACGCATGGCTAGCTCAGTTTCAAAAAAAAACTAAAAATAAATAATTAACATAGTCGGTTTTTGGTTCACTACGTCACCTGACGACACTAAATTGCAGAAAACTCACAGTTTTAAAATTAAGTTAAATCTCGCATTTGAAGCTATTTTTCGTGATTCACAAGTTTGATCTGGTCAATTAACATAGAGAATCGAGGTTGTAGGTGACAGAACCACAAACGATTTTTGTTTAGAAATTCCAAGAACAGAATTTTCCACAAAAAATAATCTTTTGCCATCTCGGTTACGACTGAAAATAATGTAGCTAAAACTTGCTTAATTAGTTGCTTACCCTAATGTCTCTCACAAGACACTCATTTAAGAAGAAGAAAAGATTTTGGAAAATTGGATAGTATACACTAAATGTTATTTGGAAATTTAAAATCTATACCAAATTTATCAAATTTTGAAAAGTACCCTATTTCGTGATTTGAAATGATAGTTTTATCTTTAGTTAAAGAATTTTTTTTTTTAGGGATTTGATTATTCCAACTTTTATTAAAATTTGATTTATAATCTTTAAAGATTGTAGATAATAATTAATTTAAATTACAATATATATTTTTATATTAATTTAAATAAAATTACCAATTGATATTTTTTTATAAAATAAAATTACGAATTGATTTTAATTAATTTTATGATTTACAATTTAATTAATTTAGATAATAATATGTTAAGTCGATGAACAAAAAATTAAATCAATGGTGTAAACAAGTTGATAGAGTAAAAAAAAAATTAAACAAAATATAAATCGGTAGTTTAAAATAAATCGATGAATACAAAAATTAAAGTCGAAGAACTAAAAAAAAGAAATCACTAGTTTAAATAAGTCGATAACTTAAAATGTCACTAGTCGGTTTTTGGTTCACTACGTCACCTGACGACACTAATATCCTATGAGTCTCGTAGTATTTTCTTT